GAACCCTTTCAAATGCCTCCTCAATTTTGATTATTTATAGGATCGGAAGAAACCTTAATAGTAAACGAAGTGGCACCCACAATAGAAGAAGATAGAATTTCATGCATAAAAGAGCATAAGCAGGCGAGGGGTTGACACCCTAGTGTAAAGTGTCACACCGTAAAGTAATTTGTAAATAGAACTTCGTAGGTGTGGTTATTACAACCATAAAAAATGTTAAGACCCCACCAAAGTTTTATTTTTATTTTTTAAATAGTGTTTGAAAATACGCAAGTAGAGGATGACTTTGAGTAGGCTAGACAACCAAGTGTTTAAAACAGGGGCCAAAAATGAGAGTGGGGAAGGGGGGATGACCATCCTAGAGGGAATGAGGCTGGAAAATGTAGAGGGGATTGAGAACGAGAGTTGAGTGGATGAGGCGCCTGACAAACGAAGCAAGAATGGGAAAGTTAAGGGGCTTAGGGGAGGGGTTACTCTTCTCTAGGTTATCTTTTTTTTTTTTTTTTTTACTAAACCTCTCGGTATTTGTAAGTCATATTGAATCCCAACTAATCTAAAATCAAGTCACATTGGATCCTATAAGAGGAGAAACTCTCCCAGTACCTATTTGTCTATTCACAAGACTTAAACTTGAAACCTTACTTAAAGTAAATTGAGTTTCTTCCACTCAGACTAATAAGTTGTTAGTCTTTCTGAGTTATCTTAGGATAGCTAAAATGTGCAGATAATTACTTGAATTGTTTTCAAGCTTGTTCAAGTTATTAAGTTAGGTTTTTAAGACTTGTCACAATAAGTAGCCGAGGCTGGGTCTAGTAGGATTTGGAGATGGCCATTTATGCTTCCGCATATGCCATGCTGTACCTCTATTGATATTTAATAAATATTTTATTCCTCAATAAAAAAAACCAAGAGTATAAGCAAGCGAAGGGTCGACACCCTAGTAAAAGTGTTGCACCGTAAAGTAATTAGCCACCATAATAAGACTATCAAAAATTTAATTTTTTTAAACAATGTTTAAAAATTTCATTTGTTGACTGATTTTAATTTTTTAGCTAATAATTAAATATTAACTGTTCTTTAGTTATTTGTTAATAGTTACACTATCAACCATGTAATTTGGTAGTAGACTTATCTGTGCTCTTAGCCACAAGTCTTGGGTTCAATCTCTCTTCTCTATGTATATATAAAAAAAAAGGTTTATACTTATAGTTATCAACCATTTTACCAATCAAATTAAATAGAATTAGTTTTTTAAACACCATTAGAAAACAGCATTTAACCAACAAAAATATATATAATCTATAGCTTTTTGGTTGTAAGTTATAAATATTAATTAAATAAATATATAATTGATAAAATATTTTATGACAATTATGTTATATTAATTTTAAAATTGGAAGTTCTAAGAGTATATCTGCTCACTCAATAGTGTTCATCTATATGCTTTGTGCCTTCCCAAACTAGTGGTCCTTCATTTGGAGAGTCTGAATTTGACTCATTTGACCACATATCACCCCATAGTTAGGGATATTGATATTTGATTTTTTAGTATCTATGTTCATGTTCATATTCATTTAGACGTGTTTATAAATACTTTAGTATATATTTTGTGTATATATGATGAATAAACTAACTATAAATGTGTAGTATTAGAATTGATAATTTAGTCAAAATATATATCATATTAACTAAAAATAATCTTATATTTGATAGTGTTAAATTTTTACTACCAAATTTATGATTTACAAGATATATAATATATTTATAGATGCTACTAGTGGAAGATTGATTATTAACATATATATCTACAAAATTTTAACATAACCGATAGCAACTATTGGTTGTTGATTATACACGTATCCTGCCTCACCTGGCTAAAAAAATTGAATTTCACAAGGTACCAAATTCAAAATATAATTGACAAATACTTTTTAATATAATGGACAGAAATATTGTTGATTATACTTTCTTTTTATATATAAAGGCAGTACCAAAACCTTTAAATATCTTCTCATTTCATCTTCTTCTAAATTTCTAGTCCTCCTTTCTTATCCTGCAGATGCGTGTGCCCCATTTTTCTTTTCTACCTTGCTTCATCTTCTCTCTTTTCTTCTACCTTTCTAAATCTTTCATTGTCTTTTCCCTTTTTAAAATTTCTTCATCTTCCTTTCTCCCTAAACTCTACTATTCTAATTCTTGGTCTTTTCCCTTTCTAGGTACCTCTCTTCATCTTCTTTCATTGTTTTTGCATTACTTCACCTTTTCCCCTTAATTCCTTCTAACTTTCTAAGTCTTGGTTTTTTTTTTTTTTTTGGTTTCTGTATTATCCAATTTTTTTTATTTGATCAATAACATTTTTTTTTTCTTTTGCAGATTATTAAGATTGAAATCATGTTATGAAGTAACTTCTAATGCTATTTTTGATTTATGTTTTCAATTTCCTTTTATTTCTATGAAATCTTAAAAAGTATAACTACACTAACAATGTGTATATTTATTTATTTTTTGCAGGTTTTTATACTCAAACTATCTCATTGTAGGTAAATTATTTGTCACTTTTCTTCTTTTTTTTTTTTCATTATTTTCATAATATTTGTATAATATTCTAGTTTTTCAATTTGTTTTTGTAAATTTATCTATATATACATATATATTGTTATGGCACATGATTGTCTTACATGTATTTTGGTTAATGTTTATAATTTATAGCTATAGATTTTTTTTTTGGAATTTTTTTAAAAAATATGATACCAATAAAACTGACAGCCATGTATGTCAATTATACATATATAATCAACAACCTATAGCGGTCGATTATATTATATTAAATTATTAAATATAGTTGCTAGGCATCCTATTTAATAGACAAAATTTTTGTAGATTAAAGCAATTATAATTAATAGAAAACATTTTTGTCAATTATACTTGTTTTCAACATATTTATTTGACAATTTTTGTTGTTGATTATGTTTGTTAGTTACAGGTATAATTGATAGAATTTCCAATATAACTGACAAATTTTTTTGTCATTCAAAAGCTGTTCTCTAGTAATGAAATAGGAAAATGATTTTGAGATAACCTTTTTATACCATATTTTGGTACAACTTGATGTATTATTTAAATGATTAATTCTTTTTATTCATATGAGACTCGTGATATTAAATGCATCCACTTATTTAATGACATATGGCAGTTATATCAATAAATGATACAAAAAAGTTATCCCTATAACACTGCCCAATGAAACATAGTATTTTACAATTTTAGTCCTCATAACATTTTTATTTATGGTCATAACCGTGCCTGAACTTTGTGTCAAGAATTTTGTAATAAAGAAAAGAATCTAGACTAAAATGTCATAACTAAAAAGGTTAAAGAATGAGAGGTTGTCATCAAACATTTTGTGTTTGTGTTGTTGAGCAATCTTAAGGGTGTACCTCCCACATCGGCTTGATGCATTCAAAGAAATTAATTATCTTAGGTATTGTTTCTAAGACTTAAACCTTGAACTTGGCTTATAAGACGAAATTTGCTTATTAGTAGATTCAACCCTTTGAGTCAAAATGGGGATAAGGGGGTGCAACACGACAAAATTAATCAATATTTAGTATTGTCAACCCTGGCAAGGAGTATGAGATGAGATTGCTGGCTTCTCAAAGCAGCAATGTGTGTTCATAGTAGTAGTTGACTATCATCCCTGAATGGTGTGTGCATCATCTATCCTACTAATTATCATCGATTTTAATTACCGTCGTAGAGGAGGATCTTATCTCATATTCACATGCTGTAATATAGAAATAGATTAATAGTTAGTAGGCTCAGCAAAGGGCATGATAGTAGTTATGCAAATGAAATCTTTTGTAGAAGAAATAAACCAACCATCTTGAAGATTGCCATTAACAATTCACCATCTTTTCGTTAGAAGACTCACTTGGAAAAAGGGGGGAAAAATGGAACAAGAAAGGACAAAGCAGAATGATTGTTCAAACCATATAAAACTGTTAAAGCAATTGTACAAAAGATGAAATTGTACAATTGTTTGCCAGGTAGTTCTGGTATGCAATTGTTTGGTCAATTTGGTTAGCAAGGAATGCTGCGATATTCGGTGAAAGCAGGTCAACATAAGATTGTGTGCTCAAGATGATATAATGTCACTCCTATTTTTGGATAAGTGGAAAATCAGAAGGTTGGCCTTACTACTTCCTTGACTGGTGCCAGAACACAAGTAGGTGCTTAGTTACAAAGCGTGGCAAACATTTTCTAAACAATTGGCACTAGTTATGTTTACTAAATTCTTGTTATCTTTATGGGTTTAAGTATCCCTTGTACTCAATTAATAAATTGATTTATTGGCCTTTTAAAAAAAAAAGAGAAAACAAAAAAATAAAACTGTTAAAGGATGGGGTGGAACAGCTTTTAGTCAAATAAAGAACTCATAAAAGAATTTACGTGGAAATGGTCATAAAGATTAATAATGCTATTTGCTGGCTAAAAGTTAATTTACAGCTTGATTCACAAAACATTTAGGGTCAGATCGTGTTCCATTAAA